TCTTTCATTTCAACTTCTGTTTTATTTGAATCCACTTCTTTTAACCAAGCTGCATCCTTGTTGTATTTCTTTGGGTTATCCCATACCTGCTTCCAGAATTGCACTGTTTCTTCCTTGTCAGGTACTGACTGATTCCTTGCAGTTTCTCCATTGATGGATTGGTAGAAACGTTGCTGATTGGATTGAAATTGGAGGTTCTGCCTATAGTTTGCAATTCGAGCTTCATATCTACTGATTTTCCTGGCTATAGCTGTTATTTGTTGCTTTATTATTTCCAGAGCTTCCTTGATCTTACTTGTTTCTAAGTGGTATTTCTTGATTAGGTATTCTGGGTTCTTCTTGTTCTCAGCTTATTTTCTTTCACTGTTCAGCTTGCTTGCATGTGGATCTTAACTTGGATCTATATTTTTCTAGGTCAACCTTCCATGTTGTCTGGTGCACTGTTGTTGTTTTCTTTTGTTGGATTTTTACATACAGGTATTCTGTTATAACTGCAGCTGTGCTTGTACATTAAAAATTTGGTTTGTTTCTTGCAGGGAATTGGGGCTCTATAACTTGCTATTGCAGTATGTGCATCTTTTTAATGCTTGTGCTAGCTTTCTTTGGAACAAAAGCTTAATGCAGCAGGGCATTATTCTGTTGTTTTTTTGTGCTGTCTAGATGCCTCAAAGTATCTTTGTTTCAATTCTTTTATTTCTTTAGTTAGAGGGTTTTGTTCTTCCTGAGGAAGAGGTGCCTGGTTTTCCAATGAGAACAGTTGTATATCTCTACTGGATTCTTTCACTGCCAACTCCCCCTGGTTTGCCTCTACATTCTGAATTACTTCTTGTAAGGCTTTGATTTCTTTGCCCTGGGTAAACCTTTGCAGTTCGTCTAATTCTGTTTCTGTAAATACTTTATTTCGTGTTATAAATCGGCGTTGATCTGCTAGTCTCTGTTCTGTTATTTCTGATTCTGGATGTTGTTCTTTCCAGAATTGGTGCATTCGTTTTAGATATCCTCGTCTTGTTGGACTTGATCTGTAGTAACAGATCATTATTTCTTTGTTTTCCATCACTGTGTATCTGCGACGGGTAAACACCTTTTCTTCCAGTAGTTCTGCAGCTGCTGGCCCTGGTTGCTCAGCCAACAGTCCTGAGTCCTGTAACCCATTTTTCACCAGATATCCAGGAACTCCAATATCTAGTGCGGACCTTGTTAACCCGGGCGACGTCCGAGCCGGTATGGCATTCTGAAATTTACGTCTCACCATTTTTTTTATGGGAGAGACACTCTTTGTCTGACTCCTCTGATGAGACCTGTCCAGTATGGTTGAACCTCTGGCATAGCTCTCATCTTCCTCAGAGTACACAAGCCCCACAACCACGTCAAGGTAGTGCCTCACTGGGGGTTATTATTATTATTATTATTATTATTATTATTATTATTATTATTATTATATCTGAAAGGACCTCTATATTTGCAAAATGTCCTTATCCAATGCATGTTGCTGAAACATTAGAGGCAGAACAGAGAACACAGAATAAAAGAGTTGGAAGGGACCTTGGAGGTCTTCTAATCCAACCCCCTGCTCAGGCAGGAGGCCTAATACTATTTCAGACAAATGGTTGTCTAATCTCTTCTTAAAAGCCTCCAGTGATGAAACATCCACAACTTCTGAAGGCAAGCCATTCCACTGGTTAATTGTTCACTGTTAGGAAATCTCTCCTTTGTTTTAGGTTGATTAGTTTCCATCCATTGCTTCCTGTCCTGCCTTCAGGTGCTTTGGAGAATAGCTTGACTCCCTCATCTTTGCAGGAGCCCCTCAAATATTGAAACACTGCTATCATGTCACCCCTAGTCCTTCTTTTCACTTGACTAGACATACCCAATTCCTGCAACCATTCTTCATATGTTTTAGTCTCCAGGCCCTTAATCATTTGAGTTGCTCTTTTCTGCACGCTTTCCAGTGTCTCAACATCTTTTTTATAATGTGACAACCAAAACTAGATGCAATATCTAGATGTGCGCTTACTAAAGTTTTATAAAACGGTATTAATATTTCACATGATCGTGATCTAGACACTTCATTACACGTGCACAAGACCAGAAAACTTCCAATTGGACATGATGAAATACAGAATAATTTGTGTAGAAGCAGCCAACATGAACATACTACCTGCAACTCTTTTTGTGAAAATAACCGTAAAAGCTTGTTTGGAAGGTATTCAGTGTTTCACCCAAGGAACAGTGTTTTTTGTATGCTTGACCCAAACTTGGCAGGCATTGAATAAAGCAGTGGTTCTCAACCTGTGGGTCAGGACCCCATTTGGGGTCGAATGACCATTTCACGGGGATCGCCAAACAAGGCTGTCCGCCATTTTTTCCCCTTTTCTTTGGCCACGCCCCTGGCACCCGGTGATGTATAAGTGGTTGGGGATCACCACAACATGGAGAACTGTATTATGGGGTCGCGGCATTAGAAAGATTGAGAACCCCTGGAATAAAGGTTTCTAGGAGACTTTAAACAGTATCCTGATGGAGTAGGGAAACAGTCCTGAACCTCGTCACTCAGTAACTGAGAAGAGAGAAGGATGCTGGGGGTGTCCCAGGATTTTTTTCTCCATCACACTATAGAAAGAAATGTATTCCTTTATTTTCCCTGCCTTAATTCAAACTGCTAATTTTGGGCACTCTCCTTGCATTCTCACTGACAGTGAGAAATGTTTTTTTTTCTTCTTTCAAAATCAAGCATCAAGAAATGTATTTGACAAAACAGATAATTTCCTTTCTCATCTTTATCACATAGTATTGCTTCCACTGTACTCTTATACCGAGCATAATTAACTATGGGGAGGTATAAAGGCCTTACTATATGACAAAACAAATATCATATTCTTATAATTTGGAGTGGCAACAACGGGGGGGGGGGAGAGTATTAGTGTATCTGGTTTACCCATATATTTTAAGATATGTACTTGCCAGAAATGTCAACCTTTTCTGCAATCTTTTTTTCAATTAAGATTGTAATTTGTGTTGTTTTGCAGTGCATTGTATTTAGTAATGTAGAGCAGAGCATAGCATAGTATACAACTCTTGGATGTTGTATTCAATGTTAAAGAAGATCAATTCATAATTATAGTTTTTTCCTCTCCTAAACTTGAGGAATTAACCAATTAAATATATGAGATAGGGGAACTCATAACCACGAGTTATCTCTGAGGTTGATGAGATTCAGAAACACTGTCAAAGAAAACATATAAGATGTGACAGGGCCAAAAATGTATGTCAGCTTGTATCAAAATTTATATAGAATAGAAGCTAAAGCCATCTCCACTCCTTTGAGCAAGCTAATTGGGAATTGTTTTTGGTTTTCATATCATATTAATTCTCCATCTAATTAAACGAACAATGGCACACTCCTCTTTTTACCTGTAAATCAATATATGTTGAATGCAAAGCTATCTAATACTCTCTTAGAAAGATTTTTGTTTCAGTGCAAAAGGTTCCCATAAAATAACAGATTACAACTTACAGAATAACAAAGTTGGAAGGGACCTTGGAGGTCTTCTAGTCCAACCCTTTGCTCAGGCAGGAGACCCTAAACCATTCTGGGCAAATGGCTGTCCAATCTCTTCTTAAAAACTTCCAGTAATGGAGCGCCCACAACTTCTGAAGACAAACCATTCTACTAGTATGCATTAGGAAAATTGAAAAGACTATGAAATAGATTGCAGTAAGTCAATCAGATTGGCTGTTGCTATGATCCAAAATATGGGATCTGGAATACGTTTAAATGCTCAGTCTAACTGAGAGATAACCAAAATATGATCCTCACAGTTTCATAATCCAGGAAATGGTACAACTGCCATACTGCTTAACTCCCATCAGCAGACATACCTCTGTGCCTATGCCAGATGTAGTTTCTTCAAAGCTAGCCCACATAATACAAATTATATAGTCTAAGAAATTACAATGATCAACACCTGAGGTTTTAAGAAGATTAAGCATTACCTTGTTCAGGAAACATGCTACCCCAGGGATCTTCAAACTTGGCTCTTTTATGAACTTGTGGACTTCAACTCCCAGAATTCCTCAGCCAGCCTGGCTAGCTGAGGGATTCTGGGATTTGAAGTCCACAACTCATAAAAGGGCCATGTTTGAAGACCATTGTGCTACTCTATCAAGAGCTATAGAGGGAACATGAATGATGCCCAAAAGTTTGTCACATGGTTTTGTGACTATGACTACAACATCATTGATAGGTATCTCACATGCATGATGAATCAAAAATTTATTAGATTATTTTAATACACAATAGAATGATACACTCTGTGGCTCCAGAGTCACATGCACCCCAGAGAAGTTCTGGTGTAACTGTCACAGCACTAGCAATACAGGTATTATAACGTTTTAACCTGATGGGAAAAATTATGAAATTAGTTAACTGCCCTTAACTAATTAAATTTGGATGTGAATCCATTAAAAAGAACTTGTTCTAATCCAAAACATTGAAGCATGATGTCCAGAGTATTGTTTGAAGTCCAAGGGCCTCTTTTCAGTATCAAAAAGTTCCCTATCCCAGTTCAAAATTGTCTGTCTGTCCGTCTGTCCATCCATCTATCCATCCATCCATCCATCCATCCATCCATCCATCCATCCATCTATCTATCATATATCAACTAATCTGTCGCCTGACATTTAAAAAAAATAATTAGATGTACATACATCTCAGTTTATTGAATTAAATGCATATAAGTTATGCAAAATTTTTAAAGAGGCACAAATCTTTGAAAAGGTTGCAAATGACAATAGCACATCCAAGCTATAGTCACTCCTCTTCAGAACTTTCCATAAATTTTGCTCTGCACTGCAGAAAACTCAGAAACTCTTGAATCCAGATGTAACCGTCAAGAAATGTTGATGGTTCCATTTCCCTTGATGTCATAGAATGACAAAACAATTGTTTTCTCTGGCATTTCTCCAGGTCACAGTGCGTGACAGTCTGAACAGAACCTAGCAATTGATATCATTTTGTGTGCAGAACATAACAATTTTCTCATCTATATTCATTTGCAGTCGCTGTAAATGTTTTCAAAAAAGAATACAGCAAAGCAGACCTCAACTCCAGGGTCCTCCAATGCTAAAAACAAGGGTAATATATCCTTTTTTTTATGTAGTTGTTTTTTTCCTAATAATATAAACACTTAGTATCTGTCCTTTGAGGCCCACATGCATACACACACACACAGTCAATATTTTAGAGTTCTGTTTTAGCCTCAGAATTTGTTAAACAATCTTTTCAGTGGGATTAAGGGATTTAGCAAGCTTTATTTGTTTGTTAAATTTATACTCCACCCGTCTCACCATTGAGAGCTTTCACAGAAACAAAAATGCATGAATTTCTGTAAGAGGTATTTTCTATTTATTTCCCCCCCCCAAAATTCCAGATCCTGCTGCTCCTGTTGAAACAGGCCAATCAAAAACTGAACCAGCACCAAAAGAGGGTGCATCTCAACCACCTACAGATGCTAAAGCAACATCAAAACAACCTGAGGCCGTTCCAACCTCTGAGACAAAGGAAAAACCTGGTACAACAAAGGAAATGATAAATTATCAAAATGTGACTACCTCACCTTCTGCAGCATTATTAGTTGCCAAAATATAAGTTCAAATAACGGCAAATTATGAAATGAGTAATAATAGTGTAATTGACTAATTATACTGAAATGTGAATCAGTTCTTTAAAAATTAATTTGTCCAGATCAATCACAAGCTAACGTTAACCAGTATTAATAAATGCTGGCTAATTTGCAGACCAAATTGTTATATTCTTATTCAGATATCCTGTAAGCTCTGTTGATTTTTTTAAAGAAAAAAAGTGGAACCAATACAGTAGACCCTACTCCAGAATCTTCCAAGATTAGTAGTCTTGAAAATATTAAGGCTTCCTTAAGACCAGTATAAACAATCAGTTAATGGTATTGTTTTCTTTAGGTTTCTTCCAGATTTGTTAAGTATTTTTTTTTCCAATTGACCTTATTACAGCAAACTTTCTAGAAAATAGAGATATGATTTTTTTTTCTTCCTAGCATTTTTCCACAAGTGGAAAAATTTGATTTTTTGGCTCAGTCAAGTGTTGATCCATGGGTTGCAACAGGAATTGACTGACTAGCTTGTTGCCCAAGCTGATGTCATGGGCTGAGAAAAACTGATTCACTCAAAGCCACTGAACCAGCTCATGCCTAAGGCATAACTAGAATAAAGAGTAATTTTTATATGGTGTTTATATTGTTTTCATTCTTGATTGGGATCCACTCAGGATTTGGTACATGGCAGGTAGCTATATAAATATTTTAAATAAATAAACTCACAGTCTCCTGACTTCTAGTCTGATGCCTTAACCAGTAAATCAAACTGGATTATGTAAATATATGGTTTGGGTTTTTTTCCCTAACTCCCAGGCCCACCACTATCTTCATATGCTAAAACAACAACAAAACAATCCAACATCAAAGACAAAAGAGCCCAAAAAACATGGTAAAACTAGAAGAATGGTAAATTGTCACAATGTGGGCATTCTAGTTGGCCAGAGATTTTTTACTATCAATCTTTTGTTAGTGAAAAAATGTATGTGGGTTAACGTATTGGCAAAATACCACCCGTAAAGCAACTTGTGACTAGTTTTTTTGGGTCTATCACACAGCAAGTGGTCCAGATGTTAGAGGAGAAACACATCTGGAAATACAAATAACTTAAGCAAGGAGGATACTTAGGTAGTGTCAGGCAAGTCCACACAAGGTCTCCAACATCCACAATAGGCTAGATGTGTATATCTGCAAAACAAGCAAACAGGAAAGAAATGCCTGAGTACAAATTACAACAGTTCATTTAGTGACCTTTCAAAATTGCAACGGCACCGAAAAAAGTGACTTATGACCGTTTTTCACACTTACGACCATTGCAGAATCCCCATGGTCACGTGATCAAAATTCAGAGTCTTGGCAACTGAGTCCTATCCAAGGTCATGTGATCCCCTTTTGCAACCTTCTGACAAAGTCAGACTCACTTAACAAGTGTGTTATTAACAACTTCAGTGATTCATTTAACAAGTGTGGCAAAAGAGATAGTAAAATGGGGTAAAATTCACTGAACAAATGCCTTACTTGGCAACAGAAATTTTGGGCTCAGTTGTGACCGTAAGTCAAATCTATACTGAAATCTATGTATATAGAATGGCTGGCTAAGGAATTCTGGCAGATGAAATTCACAAGTTTTAAAATTACCAAGTTTGGAGTTCCCTGGTTTTGAGAATCAGATTATCAGGTTTCTGAACCCAGCAAAGGAGGGCATGGACATTTGGAAAACAGGACAAATGGGGTGGGGAAGGGAAGGAGGACACACTATTTGATTTTCTTGGAACCTGCAATAAAAATTATAATGTAAAACTAGGAGGAGGAGGAGAAGGAGGAGGTGGTGGTGTTGGTAGTACTTGAGTCTACAAGAATGGGCCTATATGAAATTACTTTTTCCAGCATGAGAAAGATTTTCAATTACAGGAAGGTGTCAGAACCAGTTAAGGGGCAAAAGCCTTCAGCCCTGTAACTGATTAAGGTCTTGTCAATTTCAGGCATCAGTGCAAGCTGGAGAGAGAGTACTAATCAAGATCAGAGCAGAGCTTGTTAACTTGAGGTTCCATTAGTACTTCTTTAGGAGGCAGTGTGCCGTGGAGAAAAGCCACTCAGAAAGAGATACTTACAAAGCTGGACAGTGTTTGATTTTAAGGCTATGCTTTCCAGATGGACATCATCAGGATAATGAAGAGGACACATCCTCCTTTTGCCAGACATCCGTTCACCCAGTCTGAGAACTTTTTTAGGATACGTCAAAGAAAAATTTCCACCCATGCCAAATCTCTTAATAAGGAATTGTACCGTTATAATTTTATCAGCTGATATATACAATAAAAGAGGGACTTGGTTTTGCATGAATTGCTTACTGGAAAAATGAATACGTTGGGCTATTGTCTCATGGTTCCTGCTTGTAATATAAATTGTTCACAAGCCCTGTTTACTCACACTGCTTGGAATTTCTCATCTACAGATATTGTGAGTGATGCAAAAGTCCCTCCTCAACCTGGAAGTGATCTACCTGTAGACCAGAAGTCCACTCCACAACCATCTCAGCCTCAACCGGAAGTTAAAGTACAAGGTGGGATGAGAATTTTGACATTCCAAATTGTCTGATTTTTTTAGTTTTACTACGCAAACTTTGAAAGGCAGAATATAATTTCAGATTCATTACTTTTCCTTGTATGTATATATACATATGTATAACTATGTGTTATCCCAGAAGGGTAAGACTAGCTGATGAGAGCTAAAGAGCTTGAAATAGCTATACTAGTCTCCCATTTAACACTTTGTCAGCCACAAAATTTTGAATACATATGTATGTATATTTATGCATGTATGTATGTATATAGCTCAGGAACGTATTGGTTGGAAACATAAGGAAGAGGCCTTCATCCTGCAGTGGATAGACAATGGCTAAAATGATGATGATGATCTATTTATTTATTTAAAAATATTATTTTTATTTATTTATTTTTTGCATCAGCTCTGTATTATTTTTACAAATAATTCAAGATGGGGAACATACCCAATATACCTTCTTCATCCTAACTTTCCCTGCAACAACAGTCCTGAAAGAGAGAGGGATTGGCCCAAAGTCAACCAGTGGTTTGATGGCTAAGACATGACTTGAACTCAGCATCTCCCACTTTCCAGTCTGATACCCAAACCACTAAACCAAACTGGCTCTCTCTCTATTTTTTTATTTATTTATATACTGTACCTCTATCATCCTTATATTTTTTTTCTTCTTCCATTATTTCTTCTGACAAATTGCCTTTGAAATGAAAACCTCAATCAGCTCAACAACCAGCAACAATCAGCAGTCCCCAGGCTCCTGGTAAATATCCCTTTATCATTCAGAGATATCATTTTTCCTTCTTTTTTTCTTTGTGGGTTGTTGTCTTTCTTTATGCTTTTAGTGTTTATGTTTTATAAAAACCATTCAGCAGGTCCCACTGTTCCTCCTGCGGCGGCCCCTTTAACGACTCAGCCAGCACCCAAACCGACAACAGAACCACAAGCTCCAGGGGTTGCTCCAGCAGCAACACAAGTACCAGGTAAGTCACTTTTTCTTACTTAATTGAAGATAACACCTTTCCTTGTTTGTTATTTCTGCCATGTTTTAATATACAAGTTGTAATATTTTTTTCTTGTATTATTTCTTCTGGCAAATTCCCTTGGAAATGAAAACCTCAAACAGCTCCACAACCACCAGCAGCAGTCAGTCCCCAGGCTCCTGGTAAGTCACCCCTTATCAGTTAATTACAGATAACATCTTTCCTTTTTGTTTTTTTTGTGGATTATGGTTAGTCTTTTTGTTTTTAGTGTCTATATTTTATAAAAACCATTCAGCAGGTCCCACCGTTCCTCCTGCGGCAGCCCCTTTAACGACTCAGCCAGCACCAAAACCAACAACAGAACCACAAGCTCCAGGGGTTGCACCTACATCAAAGGAAGCACCCGGTAAATCTCCCATTATTGCTTAAATGATGATAATACCTTTCCTTGTTTTTTTCTTTTGTGGGTTGTTATTTTTACGTATGTTTTTATTCTAACTATATCTATCTATCTATTGTCATCTATTTATCTATCATCATCTATCTATCTATCTATCTATCTATCTATCATCATCATCATCATTATCTATCTATCTATCTATCTATCTATCTATCTACCTACCTACCTACCTACCTACCTACCTACCTACCTACCTATCTATCTATCTAGCAGCCCCCACCATTCCTCCTGGGGCAGCCCCTTTAACAACTCAGCCAGCACCAAAACCGACAACAGAACCACAAGCTCCAGGGGTTGCACCCACATCAAAGGAAGCACCAGGTAAGTCTCCCATTATTGCTTAAATGAAGATAATACCTTTCCTTGTTTCTTTTTCTTTTGTGGTTTGTTATTTTTCATATGTTTTTATTCTAATTCTATCTATCTATCTATCTATCATCTATCATCTATCTATCATTTATCTATCATCATCTATCATCATCATTATCTATCTATCTATCTATTTATTATCTATTTATGTATCATCTATCATCATCATTATCTATCTATCATCATCATCTATCTATCATCTATCTATCATCTATCATCATCATCTATTTATTATCTATTTATCTATCATCTATCTATCTATCATTATCATTATCTATCTATCATCTATCATCATCATTTATTATCTATTTACCTATCATCTATCTATCATCATCATTATCTATCTATCATCTATCTATCATCTATCATCATCATTATCTATCTATCTATCTATCTATCTATCATCATCATCATTATGTATGTATGTATCTATCTATCATCATTATGTATCTATCTATCTATCTATCTATCTATCTATCTATCTATCATCTATCTATCTATCAAGCAGCCCCCACCGTTCCTCCTGCGGCGGCTCCTTTAACAACTCAACCAACACCAAAACCAACAACAGAACCACAGCCTTCAGCGACTGCACCAGCAGCACCAGCAAAGCAAGTAGTGGATGCCCAAGCTGCAAAGGACAAGAAACCCGAAACGCCTGGTAAAACCAAGATAAAACTCAAGTTACTCTTCAGGGTCACTCTAGATACGCTTCTCTAGAGTGATAAGCTCTTGAGCCACATATGGCTCCCAGAAGCAGTCTTCCATGCTTCCATGCCCCCTCCAACATCAGGTGCCAAACTATAAATTTTATATCATATGGCAAATTGTGGCAAACTGATACACAGCCATTAGTTTAGCGACCATGAGTTATGATTTTTGACCAGTCCTTGCACTTACAACCATTGCAGTCTTCCTATGGTCATGTGATCAAAATTCCAGTATTTGGCAATGGGCATGTATTTGTCATACATACATTTGTCATGTGATCCTGTGACAACCATTTGCAACTTTCCCAGCTGGTTTCCAACATGCAAAGTCAATAGGAGGAAGCTGGATTTGTTTACGACTATATGATTCATTTAACAATTGTGCAGTGGTTCATTTAATAACTATGGCAAGAAAAAGTCATAAAATCAGGCGTGAGTCAGTTAAGAACTTCTTGCTCAGTCAGCAATGGAAATTCTGGTTTCAATTGTGTTTGTAAGTCAAGGATCACCTCTATCTGTAAATGTCCTCAACTAACTATGTTGAAATATGAGTCAACTTTTTAAAAACGTTTAAAAAGTTTGTCCTGACCAATCACAGCATGAAAGCATTTTTGTTCAGCATATTATTTGAAACCGTGCTGTATCCTTTGTCCCCAAAACCTTGTTCATCCCAATGCAAAATAATAAATGTCAGTTAATTTGCAGATGAACCTTTTGTGCACTATACTTCCTTAGATGTAACTTCTACTGAACTTTCTAAAAGAAAAAAGTATAACTAGAACACCAGATCCTCCACTCCAGACTCATCCAGTGTTAAAGTAAAAACAGCGTGTTCCTGGGGAAGATTATTCTTTATTAAGGTTTATATAGATGCATGTTAGGTTTTCTTTGGTTTTTGTTCAAAGTTGTTAAACACGTTTTTCAGCGGACTATATGTTACCGAGTTCTAGCCAGCTTTCCCAGAAAATAAATATATTGGGGCATATATAAATTATGTGTATTTTGTTTCTCCCCAAATTCCAGTCCGAGCTGTTACTTTTGAGGCAGGCCCTTCCAAAACCGAACCAGCACCAACAGAAGGTAAAAAACCACAAGATGCTAAAACAGCAACAAAACAGGTTGTGGACCTTCCAACATCAAAGGACCTGGAAAAACCTGGTAAAAGTTAAAAAAGAAAAAAAGAAAATTGTCACAATGTAGGCATTCTAGCAGATCAGATATTTTTTTACTATTAGTCATTTGTTGGTAAAAAATATTTTTAGAACTATAAGTGGGCAAATAACTTAGCAAAATATAGCCCATGATTTAGGGAAATTGTGACTAGTTTTTTGGCCCAGTGATCCAGAGAAAATAGCAGAACCATGTGAGGCTTCTACTGTGCGCAGACACAATTTATTCATTGGCTATTGTGTCAATGCCAGAAACCCAAGGGGAAACACAATCCCAGAAGAAAACAATTCAATGTTAAAACCATTTAGAAGCAAGAATGGGACACAGCACGATAAGTGATCAACATATAGAGAATTCCTAAAGGAAAGGAGAGCTAAAATAGCCTTTATATCCCTCTAAGATCTTCTCAGTATGGATGAAACAAAAATTTCCTTCCCTAATGTATTTATTAATGAGGAAGTCTACTGTTATAATTTCACCATTTGATATGTAAAATAAAAAGGAACCCATGTTTCATGTGAATTGCATATTCGTGTGAAAAAGTCCCTCCCCATAAAGGAGAATATTTCTAGCTGAGGGTTGAAATGAGGGGTCTTTGGAGAAGAAGAAGAACCACCCCAAGTTATCAGTAAACAGCCCAACCAAAGAACCTACAAGAACATTTCCACTAGGATGAGCAATAGGACATGGGTGTCAAACTTGCTGCGTGTCGTGACATATTGCAACTTTTTTTGCATTGCTGGAGCTGGGGTGGGCACGGCCCTATATGATGCAACTGGCCCATGGGCCGGCAGTTTGACACCCCTGCACTAGGATATAAAATGAAAGCAAACCCTATCCCCTTACTAGCACTGATGAAGTTACCTAGTTTGGCAATGAAACGTCTACAAGAAAACAATCAAACTCAGAGAGCACCAAGGCCCCCCTCAGTCCCTCCCCAACTTATAATTGATCATCCAGAAGGTAAGACGTCCACTCCAGACCCATCTCAGCCTTAACAGGGAATTAAAGTGCAAGCTGAGATGGGGATTCTGATATTCCAAATTCTCTGAATTTTCAGTCTTACTACAGATATCTTGAAAGGCAGAATGCAATTTCAGGATCATTACATTTCTTATGTTTACCTCTCTTTTCAAGTTTCAACCTGCAAGTTCTACTCTTTTTTTTTTCCTTGTATTATTTCTTCTGGTAAATTCCCATGGAAACGAAAACCTCAAACAGCTCCTCAACCTGTGACAGCAGTCAGTCCCCAGGCTCCTTGTAAATAACCTCATATCAGTTAATTAGATATAACATATTTCCTTTTTTTTGGCGAGTTGTTGTTTTTTGTTGTGTTTTTAATGTCATTTTTTTTTAAAAAAAAATTCAGGTCCCACCATTCCTCCTGTGACAGCTCCTTTAACGACTGAACCAACACCAAAACCAACAACAGAACCACAAGCTCCAGGGGTCACACCAGCAGCAAAGCCAGTAGTGGATGCCCAAGCTGCAAAGGACAAGAAACCAGAAACTCCTGGTAAAACCAAGATGAAATTCAAATTGCTTGCCAGGGGCATTCTGGATACCATTAATAACATAAGGGTGGCTATACATTAACATGGATTAACTATTCTGTTTTTCCTTTGATCTTGGCTGACATCCTAGCCTATAACTCAAAGAACATCTGAGGAGGATATTTGAGTGTCAGCCCTCTACATTGCTTAAAAAAATGTAGAAGCACAGCGGAAGTTGTTTTTATATATGGGGGACTTAAACAACGTTGCCTGTGATCTCAGGAAAACATTTCACACCCATACAAAAATATAGGCAACATTTTCTGGTTTGTGAGTCTCAATTCAATCTGTATGTTTTCTGGATGGTCCCATCTGATCATGTGGTGATGCCACAAGAAAAGTTTGGAGTGAACATTTTCAATTGTTTTGTGGGGGTGGTTACGAGTGAAAAAAGGCATAGGGGACACCTGGGATAAAAAAAAACCCAGTCCTACAGTCTCCATTTCAAAAGCTCCCAAAACACCACTTTCAAGCAGGTCTAACACCTTTAAGAGAGTTTTGTGAGACTTAAGGAGTCCTGGTGGTGCAGTGGTTAGAATGCGGTATTGCAGGCAAACTCTGACCACAGCCAGGAGTTCAATCCTGACCAGCTCAAGGTTGACTCAGCCTTCCATCCTTTTGAGGTCAGCAAAATGAGGACCCAAAATGTTGGAAGCAATAGGCTGACATTATAAACCAGTCAGAGAGTGCTGTAAAACAGAGATCTCCAACCTTTTGGGCACTAGGGACCGGTTCCGTAGAGAGAAGTTTTTCCACAGACTGGAGGGTGTGTGGTTTTGTGTGCTGCCTGCATCCTGTGGATGGAGCTTTGCTTGTTTGTGTAGACCAGTTGCTGACATGCTGCAGCCCGGTACTGGTCCACGGAACGGGGGCTGGGGACCCCTGCTGTAAGGTACTATGGAGTGACATATAAATCAAAGTGTTATTGCTACTGCTATTAAGTATGGAACGGAGACAAGCTCTTTCCCAGAGATATCCTAGTTGCTGTTATTCCTCAGTTTCTCTTCCCAAATATATCATGAAATGGGCTGAAATTTGTTTCCTTCTGGCATGCATATTCTGAATTATTTTTTTTAAAAAAAATCAAATCAACACAATTGTCTATTTGCCAACACATTTCAGGAGACTAACTTTGTGGTGTTGGATTGGACTGCACATGAAGTGATGGCGACCACACTTACAGATTGTTTTATGAATAATTTTTAAGTTCTGCATGCTCAAACCATTTTCAATGTCTCATTTTCAGCTACTGTGAGTGCAAAAGGCCCTCCCCAAGCTGTAAGTGATCAGCCTGCAGACAAGAAGCCCATTCCAGCACCATCTCAGCCTCAACCAGAGAGTAAAGCTCAAGGTGATAAGAGGTTTCAGACCTTCCAAATTGTCTTAATTTATTTACATTAAATTTATATACTGTCCATTTCATTCTGAAAAGCGAAGATTTTCAGTCTTATTACAAAAACCTTGAAAAGATTTTGCTTTGTTCTCTTTCCTATTAGATTTCAATATGCATGGCTTAATATTTCTTCTTGTAACAATAAAATTTGGCAAAATCTCTTGAAAAAAAACCCCTGAAACAGTTGAAAAACAGCCCCAAGACTCTTAGTAAATCATCCCTTATTACTTAATTGAAAATAACACTTTTCCTTGTTTTGAAATTGTTTGGGATGGGGATTTTCGCATTCCAAATTGACTGAATTTTTCAGTCTTACTACAGAAATCTTGAAAAGCAAAATATAAGCTCAGTATCATTATTTCTGCTTATTTCCCCCCTTTCTTTTCAAGCTTGAATATACAAGTCCTAATTTTTTTTTTCTTATATTATTTCTTCTGGCAAATTCCCTTGGAAATGAAAACCTCAAACAGCTCCACAACCAGCAACAGCAACCAGTCCCCAGGCTCCTGGTAAGTCATCCCTTATCAGTTAATTAAAGATAACATCTTTTCTTTTTGTTTCTTTGTGGGTTGTCATTTTTCTTTGTGTTTTTAATGTCTATATTTTTTAAAAAAAAAATTCAGCAGGTCCCACCATTCCTCCTGTGGCAGCCCCTTTAACAACTCAGCCAGCAGCAAAACCGACAACAGAACCACAAGCTCCAGCAGGTGCACCAGCAACAAAGCAAGCGCCGGGTAAGTCAGTCCTTATTACTTAATTAAAGATTATGTCAACTCTACAATGAACCTGGCTGAAGCCATCTTGCTCATTCTAGGTTGCCACAAGAAAGTCTAAACAATTCTGGGTCCCGTGGGAACCAAGGTCATTCTATCAGTTAGCTTAGAGGGTTGGGCGTTTTGTTAGAAAGCCCGCCAAATTATTCTATTGGGGAACGTAGATGATTGCATAGCACTAGGGTGGGAAGTTTGACTTTGTAATAGTATAATGCTTTGGAGGGAATTTCAGACTTGGTTTCACTTTTGACCATGCCGATATTTTGTAACCAATAAACATGTTCTTTGAGGAAACCTTTATCCTCCGAGTTCTGATTTTGTTGGTCTTAGCATCGGAACCATGACAGATTACACTTTTTCTTGTGTTTTCTTTTGGGGTTCTTATTGTTATGCTTTTTTAATCTCTCTCTCTCTCTCCTTAAATGAAGATAATATCTTTCCTTGGTTTTTTTTTTCTTTTATGGGTTGGTATTTTTACATATGTTTTTATTCTAACTCTATCTATCTATCTATCTATCTATCTATCTATCTATCTATCTATCTATTTATCTATCTATCATCTATCAAACAGCTCCCGCCATTCCTCCTGCAGCAGCCCCTTTAACAACTGAACCAACACCAAAACCGACCACAGCACCACAACCTTCAGCAACTGCACCAGCAGCATCAGCAAAACAAGCAGTGGCTGCCCAAGCTGAAAAGGACAAGAAACCAGAAACGCCTGGTAAAACCAAGATAAAATTTAGATTGCTCTTCAGGGTCACTCTAGCTGCCCTTAATGGCACAAATCCCTTAATGCATGCTGACTTTTCTGCAGTTTCCTTGATGTCAGCTGACAATCCAGCTGATAGTTTGAAGAACTTCTGGTGATGATATTTTGATCTCAGGAAATAATTTCCATTGAAAACAGAATTTCTAGGAGGAACCTAGATAGTGTTGGTTGGTAGCTCCTGGGAACACATCAGACCGATAAGACTGGAAGGGCAACATTCACTGGATTGTAGGTCTCATTTCAGCCTATTAACCTTCTGTTGGGTCTCAGTAAGCCATAAGATGATCGATGATGCTACTAGAACATTTTCATTTATTTTGTGGAGGAGGTTAAGAGTGAAATAGAAATAGGTAACTTCTGAGATGAAAATCATTCCCAGTCCTACTTTCACTACCAACCTTGACTCCAAATTCTCCCAAAACACCACTTTCAGGCAAATTTGCAGCCTTCAAGAGAGTTTCGTGAGATTTAAGAATGAGATGGAGACAGGCGGTTTCCCAGAGGCATCCTAGTAATTGATAACCCTCAGTCTCTATTCAAAATATGCCATGAAATTGGCTGAAATTGATTTCTTTCCACCATGTCTGTTCCGAATTACATTTTTTTAAAAAAAAATTGTATCAATTAAATTGTCTATTTGCCAATACATTTCAGGAGCATAACTTTGTGATGCTGGGTGGGATTGCGTGTGGGCTGATGAGGATCACACCTTACATACTGTTTAATGAGTACTTTGGGCCATTATTTATTTGAGGTTTGGGACGCAATTTATAAGTTCTGCATGCTCCAACCACTTGCAATTTCTCAAATGCAATTATTGTGAGAGATGCAAAAGTTCCTGCCCAACTTGTAAGTGATCAGTCTGCAGACAAGAAGTCCACTCTAGAACTATCTTGGCCTCAACAGGAAGTTAAACTGCAAGGTGGGATGGGGATTTTTGCATTCCAAATTGACTGAATGTTACAGTCTTACTGCAGAAATATTGAAAAGCAAAATACAAACTCAGTATCATTATTTCTGCTCCCCCCCCCTTTTTTTTCAAGCTTCAATATACAAGACCTAATGTTTTTTTTTCTTGTATAATTTCTTATGGCAAATCTCCTTGGAAATGAAAACCTCAAACAGCTCCACAACCAGCAGCAGCAGTCAGTCCCCAGGCTCCTGGTAAATACCCTTTATCAGATAATTACATATAACATCTTTTCTTTTTTGTTTCTTTGTGGGTTGTTGTTTTTCCTTGCGTTCCTGATGTCTATATTTTAAAAAAAAATTCAGCAGGTCCCACTGTTCCTCCTGCAGCAGCCCCTTTAACGGCTCAGCCAGCACCAAAACCAACAACAGAACCACAAGCTCCAGGGGTTGCTCCAGCAACAATGCAAGTACCGGGTAAGTTGTGGTGGCACAGTAGTTAGAATGCAGTATTGCAGGCTAATTCTGCCGACAGCCAGCAGTTCGATTCTCACTAGCTCAAGGTTGATTCAGCCTTCCATCCTTCCAAGGTTGGTAAAATGAGGGCCCAAATTGTTGGGGGTAATATGCTGATTCTGTAAACCACTTAGAGAGGATTGCAAAACAGTATGAAGCAGTATATGTCTAACTTTATTGCTACTGCTAAGTCACCTAATTAATGATAATACTCTTCCTTTTTTCTTTCCGTCAAGTTTTAATATACAAGACCTAATATTTTTTCTTGCATTATTTCTTCTGTCAAATGCCCTTGAAAATGAAAACCTTAAAAAAGCTCCACAACCAGCGACAGCAGTCAGCCCCCAAGCTCCTGGTAAGTCATCCCTTATCAGTTATTATTACAAAAAACATCTTTCCTTTTTGTTTTGTTTTTTGTGGGTTGTTGTTTTTCTTTGTGTTTTTAGTGTCTATATTTTATAAAAACCATTCAGCAGGTCCCACCATTCCTCCTGCAGCACAACCGGCAACAGAACTTCCTGCGGCGGCCCCTTTAACGACTCAGCCAGCACCAAAACCGACAACAGAACCACAAGCTCCAGGGGTTGCGCCCACATCAAAGGAAGCACCAGGTAAGTCTCCCATTATTGCTTAAATGAAGATAATACCTTTCCTTGTTTTTTTTTCTTTTGTGGTTTATTATTTTTATTTATGTTTTTAATCTAATTATATCTATCTAAAAAGCAGCCCCCACCATTCCTCCTGCTGCGGCCCCTTTAACAACTCAACCAACACCAAAACCAACAACGGAACCTCAACCTTCAGCAACTGCACCAGCAGCAAAGCAAGCACCGGGTAAGTCATCCCTTATTATTTAATTCAAGATAATACATTTCCTTGTTTGTTCTTTGTGCCAAGTTTTAATATACAAGTCCTAATATTTTTTCTTATATTATTTCTTCTGCCAAATGCCAAACTTAAACAGCTCCACAACCAGCAACAGCAGCCAGTCCCCAAGCTCCTGGTAAGTCATCCCTTATCAATTACTTACAGAAAACATCTTTCCTTTTTCTTTCCTTGTGTGTTGTTGTTTTTCTTTGTGTTTTTAATGTCTATATTTAAAAAAAAATCAGCATGTCCCACCGTTCCTTCTGCAGCAAAACCGACAACAGAACCACAAGCTCCAGCAGGTGCACCAGCAGCAAAGCAAGGACCAGGTAAGTCACATCTTGTTACTTAATTGAAGATAACGATTATTTTGTCTTTGTGGGTTGTTATTTTTCTTTGTTTTTAATCTATTTGTCTGTCTGTCTGTCTGTCTGTGTCTGTCTGTCTGTCTGTCTGTCTGTCTGTCTGTCTGTCTGTCTGTCTATCTATCTATCTATCTATCTATCTACCTATCAAAAAAGCAGCCCCCGCTGTTCCCCCTGTGGCGGCGCCATCAACAACTCAACCAACTCCAAAACCAACAACAGAACCACAGCCTTCAGCAACTGCACCAGGAGCACCAGCAGCACCAGCAAAGCAAGCAGTGGATGCCCAAGCTGCAAAGGACAAGCAACCTGAAATGCCTGGTAAAACCAAGATAAAACTCAAGTTGCTCTTCAGGGTCACTCTAGCTGCCCTTAATAATACAATTGTGACCATGCCTTAACATGTACTGACTCTTCCCCTTTTACTTAGATCTTGGTTGACATCCTAGCCTATAGGTTGAGGAACGTCTCAACGTATTGTTTGGATCTCATCCTTCTATCCGTGCTTAAAATTTTTAGAAGGCATGCAGGATATTATTTCTATCTTCAGGGGACTTAAACAGTGGTTCCTAGCATCTCAGGGAAATTTATCAAATGAGAAATTAGTTAAAAATTAGAAATAAGTGCTGACAGAAGGTGGGGGGGGGTTGGAAGAGTCATATTTCTTTGCAGTCATCTGGTCGTTAGCACTCTCCCTGAGAGCTCTTGAGGCACTTGGGGGTTTATCTGTGCCCTCGGTCCAACCCCCTCCCATCCTGCCACGACTAATCCTTCCATCGCCCGGACCATCATCCTATAACTGATGAAGCCTGTTGGATGAGAAGCGAAATGTCTTTTTCTTCTTCCTCAAGGAAAAAAAAACAATCTGGTTGCCTTTTTAAAAAACATCTTTGAGACTCGTGTGGGCTGCTTGAGCCTAACTACAGGTTGGCAGAAATGTTCACGCTCCCCTCTGCATTACGTAACTGTAGCTACTCTATCCTCTGCTTTGAATCTAAACAAAAAGTAATAGAAACAATAAAGTATGCTTGGATGCTATCAACATATATTTACATACCATATTTACACACCATTCAAGAGGCAGTAAACAAGCAGTAAGGAAACACAAAGAACCAGAAACACATCATCTCCAGTAGCTAATACCAAAATAAACAAGGGTTAATAGCAGAAAACACTCCCCTAATCAAGGGGGAACCAAGGAGAAAGCCATCTCCTCCTACTGCATCCGCCCCACCCCCCCACCCCATAGACATATCAAAATTGGCATGGCAAACTTCTGCATATAAACATGGAGCAACACTCATTCATAGAAGCTGTTACCTAGTCAGGTAATAAAATGTCTCCAAGCAAACAACCAAGTTCAGAGAGCACCAAATACTTCATATTTTTTAAATAAGTTATTTGAACATCCATTTGCTTCTGGTACATCCAGCAATACTCTAGCAAGGTTGTTGATAGTGTGTGCTCTGAGAATTGGAGGCTAACTCTAGTCATCAAGGTAACTGCCTGTCTAGAAGCAGAATAGAACAGTGGTCTCCAACCTTTTTTGCACCAGGGACCAGTTTTGTGTTTGATATTTTTTCCACGGACCAGGGGTGGGGGGAAGGAGTACACAACATAGATCCCATGCATGCACACTTTTGATCACCCGCATCTCACCTCCAGCAGTGTGGTCTGGTTCCTAACAGGCCCTGGCCCGGTACCAGTCCACGACCCAGGGTTTGGGGACCCCTGGAATAGGAGACTTACAAGAATTGTGTTACTCTTTTACAGTAGACCTGACGAACAAATCCACATCTTGTATCTCAGTATTTCTTTTATTGTAGCCACTTGCGAGTCCGAATGTTCTTCCTTCCCCCCTTGCTTTATCTCTCCGTGAACTAGGGATGGTCTGAGTCATTTGTCATTTGGCTTCAAATGAGGTCAAGTCCAACTTATCTGATTGTTGCTTTGCTATGGACTGTTCTTCCTTTCTTCAAGATCATTCTCTGTACCCTCTACATCTATAAAGCCCTCCGCATGCTATATCTCTTCAGAGCGCGCCTACGATATTCAATCTGACAGAGCTGGTATGCTTTATGTCCCATCAATTAAAACAGTGTCATTTTCTGTTGTGGCATTTATCCTCTGGAACTGCGTCTGTCCAGAGAGTCGCATTGCCCCGATCATAGCCTTGTTGAAATGGGCTCTTAAATTACGCCATTTTCTCCAGGCGTATCAGATTGAGTAGTAGTCCCTTTGAGGGAATGCAGTATGATTGAGAAAATGTTGGTTATTTTCTCTGGAAATCTATTGTTATGTTTATCTGTTGCTAATTTATTTTTAATATGTGCACCGTGTAGAGTTGCTATGAAGTCAGGCAGCCTTACAAATGTGATAAATAAATAATATTTCAGTTGATGTAACATAAACTGCATGTCATTTTTAGGATTGGAGGGGTGTTTTCAATCACATCACTGCTGGCTCGAATTTGGTTTGCAATGAATTACTGTTTTAAGCTCTTATAGCTTCCATTAAAACTTCTGATGAGCTCGCATTCAATTCTAGATCTAGCTTAATCCTAGGAAGTTCTAGACTCATTTCTAAAAGTGACAATAAAGACTCAAAATGAAAAACTACTTCGTTCTGTTTTGGAAGAAATGTCAATAAGCAGTGGAGAGTTTAATTCATAAACGTTTGAAAGAGCTCTTGTTTTATTTTGCAGCCGCATTGCCTGATTTAGAACAACCAACCCCTGAGGAAACCAAAGTAGCCGAAGAAGAAGCAGCTAATGCACTCAAAATAAAATTAATATGCAACTTGTTAAAACAATGCCCTCCGGGTGAATTCAAGAATGTCTTTGAAGACCTTCGCTTTCTGCTTTCTGATGATAAACTCATGAAGCACGACGTTGCTCAGATGTGTGCTAATCATTCCAAGAAAAATTTCACCACTACAAACGTAAAAGGGGAAAGTGTTCTGGTGACTCGCCATAATGACATGGAAGGGGATCGCTTCTTTGATCCACAGATCAAGCTTTCCTTTACATTCGATCACCTGAACAGGAGAGCTGACAAAATTCTGCTTTATTGTAATATCAGGAGAGATAAGGCAGAATTATGGAGAGAAACCCTTAATGTGACCTTGGAAGCATACATGGAGAGGCATTTCATTTCAGGAGTTTGTCGGGTTTACAGAAAAACAATTAGAAATAGGCCATATCTTGTGGTCTGCATGGAAAGCCACCAGAATAGGAGATTCTGGAACATTCACTGGAAATCAGAGTGGATAATTGCAGTCACTCCGCCTGTTTCCGAAATCAAAGGGGACTTAAAAGTACAGCTTCATTATTTCAAAAAAGCCAATCTTCACTGGACAGCAAGTAATACTGTTGAAGGTTCCATATATTTAATTCATCGGGACCAATTTGCCTTGGATTTTGAGAAATTTATTGAAGCTGAAGATAACAAATTTCAGATGGATCTTGTGAAAAGCCTCTACGATTTGTCAAATGAAACATGGAGAGAGTTTCGGAGAAGGCTCCCAGTTACTCGCACTTCAATCTCTTGGGATATACTGATGATGACTTAGAGAAAAGAAGTGAAGGCCACTGGAAATGATGAATCATTGTAGTTGCTGCAGTGCCTGTGTGAATGAAATAATGACCAAATAGAACAGTTGTGTAGTACATTCCAACTGATCTTTTTGATTTGTTGTTCGATGGTTCATGAAAACATGCAGTCCTTCACAATAAACAGTATCCAGGTCAGTGGTGTCTAGGTTAGTATTTCTACTTCATTTCTTTCTTTGAACAAAAGCAAAACATCAAGATTGTTTACAGAAGACAGGGGCTTCTTTAATGTGGTGTTATAGATATATCATAAAAGAGAGAAAACAACATTAACATCATTCGTTTCTTAAGAAAAACAAAGATAATTATATTGGATAAGAGTAAAATTTTAAAGTCCCTATGTTGATAATAGCTTTATTAAATCTTAAAAACAGATGAGGTGTCAGCTTTGAATTGATCTAATAATGTTTTACGGTTCTAAATGGATTTTGAAAATAAAGAGAGAATGCCAATCAGTAAAATACGATAAAAACAGCTAATTCAAATAGGCAGTAAAATTAAAACAGTCCCAAATTAAAATATTAATAAGTCTCAAATTCCTAATGGGAAAATCATATATTGTCTGGCATCCAAAGAAGGATGGAGGCAGCTTTTCTAGGAGAAAACATAACAGTATCCAAAACATCTTCACTTATCAACTGTTCTAGCACTTCAAACAATTAAAGTACCTAGAGCCTCAAATTACAATTTCCTTCTGACCCAGGGTCATTAGAAATACATCTTCAGGGATTATTTAATGTGTATATATGTTTTGTATTAAGTTGTGGGATGCATTGAGCACCTTGGAATTCTGTACTAAACTTAGTCAGGGAGATTATCTTCTGATATTTCCCTGCTGACCAGCAAAAGCATCTTTATTTTACCTGATTTTTTGACTGAATTTAAGCTATGCTAGGTGTTTCAGATACTTTTATGGTGCTGAAAATTATATAAGAATTGTTTTTAGCTGCAAATTAATTATTTTCATTTTTTTCGTCTGCCACATTCAGTGCTGTTGGCAGAAAGTTCAATAATAAATCGCATAAGTAAATACAATTCGTGGACATTTAGGATAGGGCATACATTTTAGAATTTAAATCCTAAGGTTTCAAAATTAAATCTTTGAAATTGGCTTCTTTGCCATTCCTTCTTGATTAAACAAAACATAAGATGTCCAAAGATTACCATATTGATTAATTGAATGATATAGACATGATGTTTAGAGCAGTACCAGATTAAATAAGCAGGGTCTGGCTTGCCAGTTCTTCTTCAAGAATAGATTTATATGCATTAAATATTATTATTTTTGTATATAGGAGCACTTGAACTTCTATCATCTTTTCGGTTAGAATTGGGTCATTGTAACACACGTATTTAAAAAAAATCATGACTTATCGTAGAAAGTAGTGGAACATTTGAAAGACTTAATAGTTGGATGAACAATATTCACTTAAGACAAAGAAAAGTGATACACAAAGGGGAATCGTGTATAAAATTGTCTTAGACAACTGAATTATTTATTCATTAGTTTTTTTCCCCCATTTTCTACTAGTACATCTGCTATATTTGCTGAGTGTTTGCCATGGAGAATATGTATGGAGGAACACCACTGAGTAGAGAATAGCCCACTAATCAGAGAGATATTTTCATGGCCCATTGTCATTTAGTTATCTTCATGGAATTACTACTCTTCTATTTGCAAATGGTTCTCATTAACTTCAAAATTAAAAAGCCATCTGTATGTATTTTGCAGAATGAAATTTCAAAGGTAGCAATGTTTCTCGAGAGAACTATTTCTGAATAGATGGAGTTAGGCTAAACTCAGTTCATCTCTAGCCAGCGCACCGGGGCAAGGAAAATGTTTAGTAGTACGTAACAACAATCCTTCTGAAAACGGAATAATTTTGTTTGATCAGAACCAATGTTATTTTACTCCTCAGTAAATAATATAAATTTGCTATGCCTGAAAACTATTTCTAATTATAGGTTGGTCCTCAAGTTACAAAGGCACTTGAGACTGGAATTTCTGTTGCTAAGCAATGCAGTTGTAATCCATGACAACATCACTTAGCAATGGCAATCTCTGCAGACCTGATAGTTCTTTTTAACCCAAAGAGCATGGTCGCTAAGTGAGGAAACTTCCTGCCAGCTCTATACAACCAAAATCAGTAGGGAAGCTGCCAGGAAATTTTAAGTCATAGGCTGGCAGACTTCCAAGTGCATGAGAATTACATCAGATCCATCATGTGCTCTTGCTTGTGCTTCAGGCCCATGATAATTTGAAACAAGGTCACGGAAGTCATCAAATGCAAAACTGCCTCAAAGCCCACTCTTATAAAAGAAAGATGAAAGGTACAAAAGCAACCTACCATATTGAGCACCAATCTCATATTAGCATCAAGCAGCTTGAACAGGAATATATTTGTGCTGGAAGGGCAATGTGACAGGTTTACCATCGTTAATTGAGGACTATCTATGTTGGTTTTTATTCTTACCACTGTAATTTGATAGATTTCCATATTACAAGCAGCAGCTTTTGAGAAACACAATTCCTTATCACCTAAAACATTTTTGTGCATCCTTGGATTGCAGCCATATTGCAGTATGATGTTGCTCCGTAAATGACATTTTCTTCAAAAGATGCAAAACACTGAGCGTCTGGGGTCTCAGTGCAGAAAATGGCCTTTTTTTCGGGAAAACACAATAGTTTCAAGGCAAACAAATCTTATTTAAATAGCTCACAACTTAAAAAGCTATTGGAGCTGAAGGGTAATTGTAATGAAGAGAAAAATAAAGATTAAAAAAAGAATATATTTTGTCATGACAGAACAGAAGAGAATTGCTGTCACCCCAGTCCACTCTTGAAATTAATTAAAGTCTTCCCGAGAAAAGCTAGTTGATCATTAATATGCCTCTAAAGAACTGATGAAGTCATGAACTATTTACTGTAGGGGGGAAAAACACTTGCTATAAGCAAATATTACAAAGAGACCAGCATTTTGATTGTAAGCTGCCTGGAATGAAGCTTTCTAAGCAAGTACTAGCTAGTCATCATTTTCATTCATTTTGAGCCTCTGAATTATTCCTTTTTTCTATATTCTTTCATCTTGTTTCCCACCTATCTAACAGAATATTTTTTCCTCTGGGTGTCATGAAGGATGTTCCTCAATTTTCCCCAACGCTCACACCCGATCCTTCTTTTATCACTATTCACAGGAATATAACATGCAACCATCACTAACTAAAGGATTCCTATTTTCATGTAATCCCTCAACTATATGCATTTTAGCCCTTTCGTTTAGAATTAAACCTACACCTTCATTTTCCAACAGGTATTTATCAACTCCACAAAATTTGACATTTATTTACATCCTTAATGTTTCTCAAAATTTGAGATACGTGTCATATCATTTTTTTAATTACTTTAATTCATGGTGCTTATCATTTACTCCACTTTCATTCAAATTCCCAATCTTTCAAAACTCTATGATTGTCACTAAACGACAGCCGTATTAGTAATAAATTACGAGAAAATGAAAAAAATATGGACGTAATGTCAACACACAAATGCTACTATTTTTGTACTTGTGTACCAACACCATAGCAGCTGACAGTATAGCAGAGTTGGAAGTGACCACAAATGTTATCTAACCCAAATTCCTGTTGAGTAGAGGATTTACAGTGCTAGAACCTCTCCAACAGATGACCATCCAGCCTCAATGTGGAAACTTCTAGCAGAGAATTCATTATGTCATATTGTAGCATCTTCCAGCAGTTGACAGCTGACAGCTCATATAGATAGGAAGTTCCTCCTAATGTTTAACCTGAGCCTCCTTCCTCATACTGTAATTTATTACTGTAGTTCTGCATTGAATGTAGATACACATCATAGTTTGCCACCTTCCCCATTCTGTTGCAGAATCTCATGTCATATGGGCCTATATTAATCTCTGTTGCTTATCATGGTTTTGGATAATCATGGTTGTCATGTAGCACTTTGGAGTAAGACAGAGAAAGAGTAGATTGCAAACTTTAGTTGTAGCTATACCATATGCAGCTTTTCCTGTTCGGTTTTGGTACTTTTTGGACAATAAAAACAGCCAAAGCCTGTTATATCTCAAGCCTGTTCATTATATTTTATCAAAATTAGGATCTGTAATCCAGGGACCAGTTTACAAGCCAAAATATTATCACCTGTAATCATCTATGAGGTATATACAAGTGTTCTGTAACGCACTCAAGATATATGTGGGGATAGATAGGTAGAAAATAAACTATATTAACTGACTGAATTTTAAAACATAAGATATATAATTTGATAATTGCTTTTGATTTAATGCAAACAATTTATAGAAACTAAATTTTTAGCAGCAATTAGTCATGATAACCAAATAAGACTGAAAGTATTTGTGCATTATATTTATGGAACTTAACTGAATGCTAAACTGCTAGGGCAAACATCAAGGAAACTTTTCTTCTTTTTAGTGCATTTTCTGAAAAGTATTGATCTGTTAGAAATATAACAGGAGGGGTATTCTTACTCAGCAAGGTATATTTTATGTGGGTTTAATACATAGGGAATAAAATTAATTCAGGAAAAAATTGTCATACCGAATGCTTAATATAATTAAACCACTGAATCTTTATTGTGGAATAGGCAGAAATCCTAACATACATTTCTTGAGTACCAAATATGTACAAAGAGTGAAGCAGGACGTAAGCTGACACCAAGTTTGGAAAAAAGTGGAACATGACGATAACCTGCAATATGATAGCAATCAATTAATGTACTGTACACAATGAAAAATACACAATAATACATATATAACATAGCTCTGTGGTCTGTGACTTTATATAATTATCATGAAATAGAATCTGAGACGAAAATTTTTGAGTTCTCTCTGCCCACTAATCTAGGCTGCATCTTGTAAAGCCTTAGTTTGAAACTCATTCCTCCAAGAATCGGAAACATCAAAACCAGTACAAAAACTTGGTTCTATCAAAGTTGTATTTTAGTACAAATCCTTATTTGCTCCAGTATAAGAGAAGGATTTGCTCCAATGTAAGAGCATGATTCTCATTCATTTTATACGAAAAACAAAGCAGTGCAATTTCAACTACATCAGTACAGAAGTTTGCACAATTACTTATACTAGCTACAAACTATTATAAAAATGCAGCAATTATAGACAACCTTGGAAGGAGGTTTAATGGTTTCAATGTGTTCTGCAA